ATGTCACTATTAATTAACTGTCCATATAAATCAACTGTCCCCGTCCATAAATAGAATTACAGCATGAAAAACGATCGTGCTCTAGCATGCATGCCCAAAGAATAATGAACTTTGGATCACTATATGCTTCATTAAAATCGAACAGATTCTATATAAGTGTAAGTAAATCTGTATCAATTCCCTATTGCGTGCCTACCCCAACTCATATTTAATCATTTTAATGTTTCCTTCGATTACAAATCATCACCACGAGAGTCAACAAGTTATCGATTTTTTTTTCAACAACAGAGCTTGTTATGGTCATATAAATTACCAAAAAGAGAAAAAAAAAAAAAAGAAGAAGAAGAAGAAGAAGAAGAAGAAGAAAGAATAGGACTCCTAAGCTTATTGCCAACTTTCAATATTTAGAATTTTAAACCTTAATCATATCTACTTGTAAGTTATAACAGAGTAATTTATTATTTCAATAAATGAAAAAAAATATATATATATAAAATTTTCATGTAAATTTAAATAAATAAATGATTTTTTTTGGATGCCAACGATATTTTCAAAATAATTTATATGTAAATCGAGGTTAATTTTTTTATCGATAATTTTTTAAAAATGCCTGACATGTCGATACATTATATTCAAAAAAATATAATAAAAATTTTATGAATACTAACTTTAAAATTTGAATCCAAAACATCAATACAGAAACAAAAAATTTTTAACTACAAGGTCATCCTGTTGAATTTATATACTAATGAATGATAAAGTATTGATGGGAGGAATGATAAATTTTCTAGTTTCCAAAATAATAATAATAATTGCTTTGTAAAAAAAGCTCCTTTTGAGTGTCATTACTCTTTGGGGTTCCAGTTCCAGCAATTAAGTGATATATTCAAAATAGTGAAAAACGCAACTACCATTCTTTCACACATCCTGCTGCGTAGATGATCGGATGACACCCGAGTATCAATAATAAGATTCAGCTATTACTAATTAGATACTCGTATTATGTTACGGTTAAACAACCGTTACATATGTAACGTTAATATGATATAGTACGAAAAGATGTTTTATTTTTCATAAATAATATAAATCAAATCTATATATTGAGCGAAATCGTTTGATTTATATACATATTTATTAACAAAATATGTAATAACATTAGCATAAAAATTTGAATTTGAATAATTAGAAGGTTATTTTAAAACATTATCTAGTTTATTTTATTTAAAAAAATTTAGAATATGAAAAGATAAATAATTGATATTATGTGTGTAGATATATAATTAATTTCTACTAAAACTAATGATACACACACACACACACTTAATAGATTCGGAGCATATATAATAAATAAATAAATATACAAAAAAACCCACATAAATTGTATGAAATACATTAAAGTCAATAGATTAAAATAAAAATCATAACGAAATTGGTTTTGATAAATTTTTAATAAATATATATAAAAAAGCAAATAAAACTTGTGAACTTTTTTTTAAAAAAAAAATTGAGCCAAACTATCTAAAACATACATCTCTCTCTCCCTCCCTCTCTCTCTCTCTCTCTCTCTCTCTCTCTCTCTCTCTCTATATATATATATATATCTATATATATATATATATATATATATATATATATATATATATAATCAGAATTTATAAATTATAATAATATATTTTAAAAAATAAAACACCAACATTCTAAAATTGTATTCCAAAATTCATATATTAAAAAACCAAATTTATTAACAAATAAAATTATATCAAAAAATTAATTTGATGAGAATTTTAATAAGAAACAAATAATTGAAGAAATAAATTCTAAAGAATAAGATATATATATATATATATATATATATATATATATATATGTATATGTATATGTATGTATATGTATGTATGTATATGTGTGTGTGTGTGTGTGTGTTCAAACTAAAATCTTAAAAAAATAGCATATATATTCTATCATCTTCAAACTCGTATAAAACTAAAAAAAATAATAATTTATTTTTTATATTTTTCACACCTAATTTCATGATAATATATATATGTGTGTGTGTGTGTGTGTGTGAAGAAAATAATAAAAAAAGAAAAGAAAAAAGGCCGGACTAGCTAAATTGTATGAAATATATTGAAGTCAATAGATTAAAATAAAACTACAATAAAATTAATTCGATAAATTTCGAATAAATATATATATAAAAAAGCAAATAAAACTTATGATTTTTTTAACCAATTATTAATATTTTTTTTAAATAAGCCAAACTATTTAAAACATACTCTTATCTCTCTCTCTCTCTCTCTCTCTCTCTCTCTCTCTCTCTATATATATATATATATATATATATATATATCATAATAGTATATTTTTAAAAAATAAAACACCAAAGTTCTAAAATTTTATTCCAAAATTCATATATTAAAAAATCAAATTTATTAACCGATAAAATTATATCAAAAAAATTAATCCGATAAGAATTTTAATAAGAAACAAATACTCAAAGAAATAAAGTTTAAGCAATAAGAGTAATATAATCAGATATATATATATTCAAACTAAAATCTTAAAAAAATATCATATATATTCTATCATCTTCAAATTATATGTAAAACTAAAAAAAATAATGATTTATTTTCTATATTTTTCACATCTAATTTCATGATTATACACACACACACACACATAAAGAAAATAACAAAAAAGAAGAAGATAGGTTAGTTAAATTATATGAAATATACTGAAGTCGGTATATTAAAATAAAAACTACAATAAAATTAATTCGATAAATTTCAAATAAATATATATATATATAAATAAAATTTATGAATTTTTTAACCGATTATTTTTTTTTTAAATTAAGCCAAACTCTCTCTCTCTCTCTCTCTCTCTCTCTCTCTCTCTCTCTCTCTCTCTCTCTCATATATATATATATATATATATATATATATATATATATATATATATATCCAGAATTTATAAATTATAATAATATATTTTTAAAAAATAAAACACCGACGTTATAAAATTTTATTCTAAAATTTATATATTAAAAAACCAGATTTACTAACAAATAAAAGTATATTAAAAAATTAATTTGATGAGAATTTTAATAAGAAACAAATAATTGAAAAAATAAATTTTAAATAATAAGAATAATATAATAAGATATATATGTTCAAACTAAAATCTTAAAAAATATCATATATATTCTATCATTTTCAAATTATACATAAAACTAAAAAAAATAACACTTTATTTTTTATATTTTTCACATCTAATTATATATATATATAGGAAGAAAAAAATAAAAAAGAGGCCAGGCTACCAGGCGCTATATATATATACACACACATATCAACCAGGAGTGCATGTACATATAAATAAGCCAACTAGGCGCTTATATATATATATATATATATATATATATATATATAGAGGCCAGGCTCAGGCTCGCGCCTGGTTTTTTTTTTTTTTTTTAAAAAAAAGGAAAAAGGCTAAGCGATTTGCGGCAGGGCTGGCCAGCGTGCTCGGGCCTGCGAGTACAGGCCCGCGAGCAGGCCTTGGCTGCTTTTCAACCACAAAAAAAAAAAATAAAATCAAATGCTACAGTAAATGAATAGTGATAATCCATCTTTTAGTTTTTTTTAGTAATTCTTTTAAATTTGACGTTTTTCATTTTGGAATATCTAGTTTATTTGATTTTTTTCACTCTCTTATATATATTTTTTTTAGATTTTATGATTTTTTTAACTCCTATGGATTTTTCACTAAAAGCTCATTCGATGAATTTGGATAAATCTGATGAACAACAATAATTAACAAAAAAGAAATATCTAGTAAATTGCAGATTCATTAGTTGTTACAAGATCTGAGATTAATCTGTAAATTTTTTTTTTTTTTTTGTAATTGTTTTGCTTTAATTTTTTCAGTAAAATCCCTTTTTATCTTTCTTGCGTCACATTTAAGATTATAAAATAAAACCCACTTTGTATTACTGGTTTATCAATAAAAATTTTTATCTTTGCCGAAAAAAAAAAACAAAAAAAGTAGCTAGGATTAGATTTTAATTTGTAGGCCTGACAAAGGTAAGCCGTGGACCAAACCCTAGACATCAAAGAGATCCGTAACATATCTTGGGCTTTTGGGTTTGTTTTGATAAGCAATGAATCAAAGAAGACATTCAATGCATCAAAGAAGACATTAAATAATTCCTCCATTAGGTATTGGTTTCTGCGCAATTGTAAAGGCGCATTTAACTGTTTCTGCTCCTGGCTAGTTACCTCAACTCTGCTTCTCCCTGACTTACCCAGTAACCCTACAAGTTTAGAGTCTCAGGAACGAATTAAACGGTATCTCTTAAGCTTGAATCCTATGTTTTCACCTAAATAAGAACAAACCAATGGAAAAGAAAAAAAGGCCATGCATAAACTAACTGTTACGATGTGATTCAGAGTGCTACACATTATAAACTAACAATGTTCATTTGTGTTTTTCTATATGCTTATACATACATACATATATATATATAAAGGAAATAGAAAAGGAAAACTACTTTCTTGAAATCTCATTGGTATTTAAGAGATATTTTAGCATGATATTTGAGATTTTTCAAAGAAATGGTTTTAAATAACCTGCTTTCTTCTGTGCAATTTTAAGCCCAATAAATGGTTAAAATTAAATGGGTGATCAACATATATTTTTTTGGCAATATATATAGACACTTTCTATTTGCAGAAGTTTTTCAATTCGAAATCAGGTGAATTTGGATTTTTTTTTTGTTTTTTTTCACCGGACATGACAAAATCAATATGAGATCTGAGTACAAGTCAAAGCAGAATTGAAAATGAACCCAGCTCTTTCGCATGTTAGCGATAACGAAACTCTGCGTCCTTGCTCCCACACCACGTCAAAATTGTGCCATACGTGGTAAAAATTTAAACAAGCAGGCCCATCTAAATCAAGTTTGACGGAACAAAGACAGGCCCACTCACACCCAGCCGAAAATGGATGAACCTGGACAAGGATTTCAGCCTGAATATTCGGCCCAGAATGACATCGAACCAGGTCAAGCCTGGGCTCAGGCCGTCCCCAGCCGCCCATTATTTCTTTTTGGATCCCCATACAAGCCCATTAATTTAACGAGGTAAGCGAGAGGTTAGTCGAGCACAACCTTCCAAGCCCTAAATCACTTGAGCGCCGTCTAGGTCTGGCAGCCAGTTCCTGCAAGACTGGATCCTTGTTCTGAACCGAATGTTCTACTGTACCTCCCTGAACTATCTAAAGTTATCTTTTACTAAATGAACGCCACTGGCTATGGGGCACGAACAGTCTGAAAAGGTCGGTCTATGGATTTTTTTTTTTTTTTTTTTTGGGCATATCCCTAAAGAGTTGAGGGGAGATAATGCATCAAGCTGTTCACACTCAACCCAACCTCTTCCTTCCCCACGAATGTCACTTCCCTCCCTCTATGCCATAGCTGGAAAGAAGGGAGAGTGTATATACAGAAGAAAGAGTAAAGACCGAGGCTACGCACCTTCAGTTGCAGTAATGGATTAATTAACTTTTTAGAGCACCTGGTTCTGTCTATTCGCAAAGACTCGATTTTATGTCCAAACTTTTCTTAAGGTGAATGGAATGCTAAATGTTTTTCCTTTCTTTCAAGTGCTATACATATGAGTTTTTTTTTTCCCAAGGAAGCAAAAAATAGTTCAATTCATTTTCAAGGTTTTGGAGCGTGGGCTGATATTATCGAAATATAAGCAGTCGAATCGAACGCTTGTTCAGATTATGCAATCGAGAAAGGAAACTGACATTGAATTCGTGCGAAAAAACCCTGAAAGCTTTTAGAGACTACTGATGGGTACTTACTCACCTAGTCGCGTATATATGTGTGTGGTATAAAATCCTAAAGCATACTTGAGAAATTTTATAATATTTAAAAAATAATTAATGTAAATTATTTCATAAAGAAAGATAAATATAAAAAAGAGAAAAAAATTAAAAAAAATTGAGTAAAAATAAAATCATAAAGCATACATAAGAAATTTTATAATATTTAAAAAATAATTAATGTAAATTATTTCATAAAGAAAAATAAATATGAAAAACAGAAAGAAATTAAAAGACAAAATTTTAAAAAAAATTAAATAAAAATAAAAATCTTTTTATCATTTTTTGAAGGTTAAGATATAATTTTTTCTCTTTTTTATATATTTATTTATCTCTACAATGTACATGTATATTAAGTAGTTAGTCTTTTAAGTATTATAAAATTTGTCCGTAATCCTCTAACCGCCTGTTTGCCCACTTTCCGTTCTTCTCTTTTGTCTAGCAACTTATTCTTCTATTTCTTTAACATATAGTAAATTGAAACCCCATGTCTGATACTTTCTTTTTTCCCTCTGAGCAAGTTACGAGGCATTTTCATTTCTTTTTGGTTTTGGTTTTCTCTTTCTTTAACTTTATTGACACATACTGAAGTTTTTGAAGAATCATGGTACTTGATGTTCGTAGTTCAATACAATATCATACGAGCCATACAATCAACCAGCGGGTTGTGGAAGCTACGACGAATTGATGATGCCCATCAAAGCTGAAGCAACTGAAGTTTGCACTAACAAAGTAATTGGTTAGATAGGACTACAAAATAAAATAAAATAAACCTGTAACTTGAGTGCTTGACTGATAAGAGATTGTATTTTTTCGTTTTTGTTAGAAAATACCTTTGAGATGAAAGATTGTGTAATTGTTGGCGATTTGAATTCAAAATTTTACAAATTTCTTTCAGAAAAGCTGATATTTTTTATTTTTAATTTGTTAGATTTTTTTTTTCAATAGGCCTGAGGCCCGCCATATACCAAGACCGAGCTCAATTTCTGTCTGAATAGTTGCTCCAAGCCTAGCTCGAGCCAATAAAAAATAAACCAGGCCTCACTTAGGTCTGGCTCGAACCCGACCCGACCCAGGAACATATCTACTCCCCTCCTCGTTACAACCTAAGGTGTCTCGACCGTATCCTAACCCAAACTTGGTTCAATCTTTAGACCTCACAAGCTCTTAATTCGCGTTACATTGTAGATCGTACAGCACATGTATAATTATTTCAATTTAAAATTTTATACTACACAGTAAATCTATAAAAATATAATAAATCACAGATAATAATGATAATAAAAATAAATCTTTTTAGTTTTTTATCAAAATTTTATATTTAACTAATCATTCATCAATATTTTCATAAATTTTTTACTAAAAAAGGATTTATTTTTATTTATTTTATTCTTAATTAAAAACTAATAATAATCTAAAAAAATTATAAATTCATGGATTTTTAACTAAAAATTACTTTATAAATTATTTTTAAAAAAAGTCTAATAGAAATTCTTAGGAAAATATTTTTAATTTATATAGAAATAATCATGCTAGTGTCATTTCAAAATTCTAAAAACCCATTATATAATTTTTTTTTAAATATTCACATTCTAAAATTTTATTTAAAAATTCTTACATAAAGAACAATAGATCATATTTATCACTAAAAAAAATTTAAAATTACAATTAATTAGATAACAATCTCTCTAGGAAATGATAAATTTAAGAAATATATTTATCAAGAATGTTGGTTTTCTAATCGGTTACTTACACAACGTTATGGACGAGAATAGAATAAAATCATTCTAATTTAATAGTTCATAATATGTTATGAGTTTACTAAAATTTATCGAATAAAAAACTGAAAAAAAAATTAAATTTTTAAAGAAAATTTTGTATTTAAATAGTTCTTTCTTACGTTATATATATATATATATTATACTTAAAAATACATTATTTGTTCTTATTTATGCATTGATTTTTAAATAAAAAATAATAATCTAAATTAAAATTTTAATTCAAAACTCAAGAAAATACATTAAAAATATATGAACTTGAAGGGAAATTATACACTATTTAAAAATTAATTAAAAATTTTAAAATAAATTAAATAAAGCTACATAAATATTTTAAATTTTTCGAAAAAAATCTTTAATATAAATAAATTAAATGAAATTAAAAAAAAAAATAGGCGAGGGCCTGGAGGATCAAGTCCCCACCCAGAATCAACAGAAAAAAAAAAACAATTCTGAAAATTAAGTACCAAAAGTGAAATTGTTTGGCCAAACAGTGAAAACGAACAGTGTAGGTGGGGTATATGAACAGTGTAAATATGTGTGATTGTATAGTGAACGCACAGTAAAAAGTTTTTTTTTTTTTTTTTTTGGTTAATTGCGAACTCATCTTCCTGTCGTTGCCCGACCCTGATTCCCAAGCTGAGACCTGGACCATCCCCAACCGAAGACCTTTGACCCAAACCTGATTTTGTGCACTCTAGCTTGGCTCCGACCCTTAGATAGCCTAAACTGGGTCCCAACAATCAGGTAGCCTAGCCCTAGCCCCTGGATATCTTAACACGATCGTGACCTCTAGGTCGTCAGGGATAGTATTGGATCTTCTAATTGGGTATGATTACTCTAGTGTGTTCTAGCCTTGACAACGATGCTCGAATCACCCGATCTAGACTTTGACTCTTTGGATTTTCTACCTAACCCAACCCTATACGTCTTGCTTAGCCCCAGCTTTGGCTCCCATTAGCCAGCTAACGTCAAGCGCTTGGTCGTTCCGGCCCACACTAACCTTGACCTTACGGCATTGGATATGACTACAAAATTATTTTGAAAGTATCGCTAGAGATTTGAAATCATATTTTATTCTTTATTAGTTGAATACGTATGAGAACTATATGTTACGTATTAAAAAATATGAGATCCAATATAGCTTGTGTACATGAATGCGAGGATTTTAAGAGTTTCGTATTTCCATATCTAACAACTTTATCGTGGGACCCTGACAGAATCTGCATTCTAAAAAAATATGTATTATTTATTATATATAAAAGAAAAGACGTGTCATTCCTAGTAGGAGTTTTTTCATATTTCTTTTTACTCATTCATTTATTTATTATTATCCTCAAATTCTAAGCCCAAATAAAAACAACGAATATCATTTCTAAAATAAAGAAATAACCCACTTCATCCTAGCCGAGGGTGTCCGTACCGAAAAAGAATAATCTAACGGCTGAAAGTGGGATCTTATGAGACCCTACACGCATCGCACCACTGGTCGGGACCCACAATCGTTGAATAGTTAGTGGCCGTGATTAAGAAACGACAGCGATCAAGTACGGTTCACATTCGTCGAGGGTTGATGGACCCATCTCTGACGGCAATACACGTCGCAAAATGCATGTATCTGGACTGCAGTTACATAGAGTTATATTGTCAATTCAAACAAAGCGATTACTGTAGCCGACATGGACGACAGGTGTGCACGTGGACCTTCCACTGTTTCTGGGACCCATTGATTTCTTTTTGTATGTCAAATCGAACGTCTAATCTGATTGACTAAAGAGTGCGGGATTCTCGTACCAGTGCAATTAATTTCAGTGGATCTCTCTCACCTATGCCACATCTCTTTGCAATTGCATGGTGAATTGGTAACCGGTTAAGCCATGGTCCTCTAACTTTCAAATGTTTGTAATGCTAATCCGTTTATAGACCAAAATGTTCAATTAGGGGTTCGTTCAGTTAAATCCAGTGGATAAAATCGAATCAAATAATTTTTTTAAGGATTAATGTCACAAAACACTTTACTTATAGACTAATACCATTTTTTATCATATTTAAGGAGAGTTGGATCCCTTTAGCCTTTATTTTGGCTTAATAATTGCCACGACTCAATCAAAAGAGAGATGATTGAGTTGTTATTTAGAGTTTTCCATTTGTTAATTTGTGTTGATGCTAATGTTTATTTTCTTGGGATTTTGATTGCACAAAGAATTGAGAAATGTTATTTCATAAAATTAATGCAACTGGGCTTAGATTTATTTTTGTATTTTTACTCTGTTACATTTTCATTTTTTTTTTAACTATATTTAAGAATTAAGTGTAATTTTTTTTAAAACAGATCAAACTCGTCTAGGATAAATTCGTGCCATTTGTTGGAGTCCAGTAGCGTTATTTGTTATTAAAATAGATCAAAAAATAAAAGTAGGCAGACTGGTTATATATGATTTCAAACAATTGGAATTTGATGTGTCAAGAACGAAGGGTGCTTGAATAATAGCTTTTTTTCTGGAACATCATATTTTTACATTCTATTCATCACCATAGTGGCCAGGAAGTTCATTTTAATGTATTACGGAAAAAAAAAAAGTTACCATTTTTTCTTAAGTATTAATTATTGTAATTTTACTTAAAAAGTGGTGACTTATCATAAATTATTTGCAGCGTGGAAGGATTACCAAAGTTCAAATCGTACTTAAATTTTTATGCTATTTAATTTAAGAGAGCTCCTAACGTTTTTTTTTATTTTTTATTCGTGGGGAAGAATGCCTCCTAGTTATTTTCATTTTTGCTTTGTAGTAGTGTTAAACTGTTAATAGGCATTTTGAAAGAATTTTTTCATTTCATAGCTTAAGTTTCATTTAAAAAAAAGAAAAAAGTTCAATATGTTGTTACATTAAAGTCTGAATTTTCAATCGTTTCGATGATTTTAATTACATTTATTATATTTATAAATAATATTTAAGTTTTAAATTTATTATTTTGATCGATTTTTCAGACAACGAGTAAATTTTTTTTACCAAAATGCCTTTAAATGTGAAAAAAAAATCTAAAGTCTTCAAAAATAGAACATGCAAGTCATGAGATTTTTTTTTTCAATCAGAAATATCTCGATCAAAAAATTTATTTATAGTATGAAAAATTGATCAAAAGAATAAATTAAAGACTTAAATGTTATTCAAAGATACAAGATATAAAATTAAATTAAAACACATAGACATTAGAATCTCGAGCTATTATATAAAGATAAATTAAGCTATTTATCAAAAAATAAAATAAAAACAACAATTAAAACACATTACGCAAGAAAATCAGTAATTTTTAATTTTTTTAAAAAATATTATAATAATATTTATTATAAAATCTCATAACATAATTTCCTTTTTCTAATATTATTAGTTTTAAGTGTAGTGGTAAGCGAGCTCCTTATAATGCGCTCGCTCATGAGATAAATACGAGTTTCATCTACTGTTGTTTGTAGTTGGTGACATATTTATGTCTTTTTACGTAATTTTAAATAATCTAGAAAAGACCCTAAAGTTCAGTCTTAATATTGATGTGATGAGAGTTTTTTGAGATAAAAAAACGATGTGATGTGAACATAATATTTTTTTATAAAAAATGGGATAGCCTACCTACATTTTTATTTTTTCAAATCTATACATTAAATCAATAACTATGCATATCCATAAAATTCTGATCTTCATTTGAATTAACATCTATTTATTTTTTTATCATATGCATGTTGGATCTAGAATATTTTGTCTCCATTATTCATCAAATGCAACTTATCGATAAGCATTTTTGTAGAAGTATTTTAAAAGTTAAAAAAAAGTACAAAAATTATATTAACCACTAAAATAATTCTCCTCGATGTATGATTTATTTTTATTTCAAATTAGCTCCAAAATACTTTATATAAATTTATTTTCCTCAGAAAATTGCAATATAGTATAACAATAAATATATTCATAATTCAACAGAACAATTTATTTTTATTTCTAAGCACACAGTTAAGTGAATCACGTAGCAAGCACCTAAAAACCCAAAACCTTCTAACCTTATCGGGATTAGAAAATTATAATCAAAATAACTCTGCATATGCTCCAAAATCTTAAATATTGCTAGTGACAAACTATACAAATAAAAAATGCACGTAGGGGGATTGATGTTGGGGTGTTAACATGTGTTTTACAGTTACTTTGTTTCTCAAGAAAGAGGGAAAAAAAAAGGAAAGGGAAAAGCTGTTCTGATCACAGTTGCGAGAAGTGTTGTCAAATGTATATATATATATGTCTACTCAAGCAAAAGAAAGCAAAATACAAGAAAATTTTGATAAATTTTAAGAAGATGCATGGCCCTTTTTTCTTTTTCTGAACTGAATTTCTTTCATCTTCTTTCAATTGATATCCTTTTGCAAGTAGGGCTAACGGTATGAGTTAGGGTTACATCACTTTCATATGGAAAGGTTTCGAACATGGATGATCATATGAGAATACACGGACTCACGAGGAGCTAGTGACATATATAAATATATGGCTCTCTTTAAGCACGATCAGCTGATGGTATAGAACCGTGATTGGATACTTCAACTGATTTTACCGGCATGGTATAGCAGCGCTCGAAAAGAAAAGGATTTCTGCTGGAAGATTTAGAATTATCAGCAGAGCATTTTTTAACTGTGAAGAACGTGGAGGGGGCAGTGGTTAGTCCTTCCGTGGCCTCTTTTGGCCTATAGACACAGAAATAGCATGCATAAGCTTAAATCATTGACTCATTGGGAAGGGAAAAATTGAACAGACTTTTACTGCCAGATTTGGACGTTATTGTCTGATTGGAACCATTCCACTAGTAGTCACTAATAAAAAGTACTGATCCATGTCTGAAAATTTTATGTGTGCATTTGGCTAAATTCTATCATTATTTCAACTTTTGGTAATTGTTTATAAATATCTTAAATTATTGATACACACAAAAAAAAAATTTTAATTTTTGTTTTTCTAATTTGGATGCTTAACTTTTTCTTCGTTCTGCAATTAAATTTTTTTGTTAATTATTCATAAAAATCTTAAATTATTGATAAAAAAGTTTTAATATATATATAATTTGGATGCCTAACTCTTCCTTCAGTCTGCAATTAAGGTTTTATTTATTTATTTATTTTATTAATTAATTTATTAATATACATAAAAGATACGTAAAGTTATGAAACAATTATATATGTATTTTGTATTTAATCATTTTTTGTGTCTTTTATATTATTTAAAATTGATCAATAAAATGATTGAAGATCATTACAGGTAAAAAAATATAAACTAAAATAATAAAAAAAATTTAAAAATTCTTTTGTCAATAGTGTAGGATACTCTATAATCAATTAGTCATTTAAATTTATTAAGCTGCCATGACTTTGTTACAAAATATTTTAAAAAATTATTAGTATCAAAAGTGAAATAAGTGTGTGTTTAGTCGTACAGATGTTCTTATAAAAATATCTTAGAATTAAAAAGGCATCTTGATGCTTTATGACGATTTTGACAGCTGTACAAAAAAATCGTTAAAAACACCTAAAATGTATGGATTTGATGTTTCTCGATTGAAATGCAATTTAAAAGGTCGTTTTATGATTGATTTCGGGGAAAATTTTCAGCCGACGAGCGGGATCCACTTTTCTTCTTGGTGGCCACTCATATTATTGAAAAATTAACAGTCAGACACTTGTTTTTGGGCAAGAATACGCACGATTCAATATGGAATTATAAATAGATTTTAGAGTCTTAAGTAATATAACGTGACACAGAATATAATTATTGTAACTTTCTACTTCTTAACTCTTAAGTGACATTTTGGTTTTTTTTTTTTTTTTATCAATAGGTATTGAGTTGCATATGCGAAGGATAAATCTTTCTTGTTATGTTGAAATTGAAGTATATTTCAATAATTGGAACTCAAATTTTATTTCAATGAAAAAAAAAACTGAATGTATAATCTTTAAGTTAAGTCTACTTATATGGTTTTTAGTTTAATGGTAACGAAATTCTTGCATGTGCAGAGATATTAAGTATTTTATTTTTTATTTTTTTAGAGTTTAAGTTTAAAGAATGCTTATTTGCAAAAAAAAAAAAAAACAAACAAACAGTTACTCAAGGAGATCAAAATTACAATTTGAATAGTATAAACATAAGATTTTTATTTGAAAATTCAAAATGAGGCTAGTTATCTTTCCATAACTAGAAAACCAATATTTAGATACAGAAATATGATTTTGGTTTAAAAATTAAAAATACGTCTCAAATTTATTACGATGAAAAATAAAACAATAAAATGATGATAACCGTCTTATTTAGATTTAAACTTTGATATCAATTGATGTGAACTTGTTCGATCGAAACTAGAGAATCATGAACATGATGATTTTAGAACCCTAAAAAGCTAAATCAAACAAACTAAAGTTGCACTAAGGAATTTCAGAAGGTATTAGATGCCACACTTTAAAAAAGAGAGATAATTGATGATAACTGTATGTGAATGCTACAAGAATATAAAATTGTTGATAAATGAAGGAAGCATATTGATTGATAAGAGTTGATTCTTTCTGAATATAAGAATAAGCCTCGAGTAAAGGCTGCTGAATCCGAAACATACTAAACAAATGTAAAGAAAACAAGAAGGTTTTCACTAATTACCAATTATGTTAATAAAGGATCCATTGATCTTTTTTCTTTCACCAAAAATGTTAATTTGCTCGCGATTGGTTGGTATGAGTGCTAAAAGTAACATACTTCATTGTTTTTGTGTGCGTAAATTTAAGAAACTGGATCGGTAGTTAAACAAGTTTTGTTTTTTTAGCTTCAAATTTTAAATTTAATATTTTAAAAAATTTATTGAATTCATTTGAATACACTAAGTTAATATAAAAGATAAATATTTAAAATTATAAAAATTAAAATAATTTCCATTGATGTATAGGTTAACTTTATAATATCTTTACTATCGAATAAGAAAAGGTACATTACGTGCATGTATTTCTGTCTGATGGAGTAAGTTCACCGAATCAACAAATATATATAAAAGAAAAAGGAAATACCGTGTAGCAACAGAAAACGTGTGATTAATGTTTCTTTTGACAATTTGCAAAGGCATGCGTTAGCAGCCCTGCTAATTGTTTTGTCATCACCCATTAATAATGCTGCCTAAAGACCACGTTAATTCGTTGTCAACCATCGCCTTGACTAGACACTTTTGACAAATTTTAAAATAATTCGTGTTCACTTTGAATATGGTATCTATGCCCGAAACAAGTGCATCGATTATACTCCATCTTTTCTTATATCTCTAATTGCTCGTAAACACATCAGTTCTGTCTGAAATATTGATACTGTCCCTATACGAATGAGGACTAATTGAGTGGATAAGTTAACGTGTTATTAAAAAATCAAGGGATTTTTTTAAGGTATATATATTTGAAACTAAAGGATCTGTTTGAAAATACTTTGCAGTCAAGAAACAAATTGAATGCCGGCAAAAAATTAAAGGACCGTTTTGATGTTGTTTGCTTTAGCTTAACTAAAGCCAAACCTCATCTACCCCTTATTTGGATAATTCCTCTTGGAAGGAAAGAAAAGAGAGGAAAGAAAGTGAGAGAAAAGAAAAGAAGGAGGAAAGAAAATCATTTTTCACTTGTTGTTTGGATAAGGGTGGAAAGAAAATGAAAGAAAATGTATTTCTCTTATTTGGATAATTGTAAAAAGAGAAAGGAAAGAAAATGTATTATTGTATATTTACTATAATACCCATATAATTCAATAGCCAATTTAGATTAATTATCAACATAAAATTAATTTAAATATGTATAACATATATTATTATCTATGAATATAATAAGTTTGGGGGCTTTCGATAGGTGTTAGGTTTGTTTTGAAAAGTCTTATATAAATCTCATTGAATGATTTTCATTATGAAATTATTTATGTGATCGTTAGGTTTTGGAATAAATGACAAAAAAACTTAAAGATAGGTTAAATTTCAAGAAATTAAAAATTAGATTCCTAAAACAAAACGTATTAAACTTTAAGGACTTGATTTTAAATGGTTTAATATTAGAGGATGGTTTGACCTATTTAGCTTTATATTTAGAAAGAGGAGAGCAAAGTGTCATCGTTTGGAACAACGTGAAAGAAAGAGAAGAACAAAGTGCCACCGTTTTAGATTGCCATTCATCTTCTCTTCTGCAATACACAACGCGGGCGCACAGGGGCACTAGTATTCTATATTTTTCTTCACAGCAAAGTAAATAAAACACAATAAAATAGACATAGCAACAGTATTTTCTCCACCTTGCCTTCCCACGCGTGAAACGAACGGGCCCTGTTGTGTCAGTTTCGGGGCGACGGGGTGTGCGTCAGTTTCCGGCGGGGGGGGGGGGGGGGGGGCGGCGAAGAGAGAGCAAAAGAATGATTCATTTGGATCGCCTAGCTTTTTCAGCCCCAAAACTCAGAATCAATGAAAGCAGAGAGTGAGAAAAGGAGAGGGACGATGAGGCAGATGGAGGGCAAAAATGAGAATGAGAAACTTTTTGATGATTTCTCAGGTTTCTTCTCCCATCTTCCTTATAATTTTAGGAGGAAAATGGATCCCATCAATTTATAGGTTTATTTAATATTTTTTTTCTTTCCACTGCTTTCTTCTACAATCCAAACCGGGGAAAACTTTCATTTCCATCCCTATTTTTTTCCTCTCCCCCACTTTCATCTTTATCTAAACAAGGGGTTAGATTTAGTACTAGTAGGTTATTCGCGCTATGTTATGAACATGATAGAATAAAATTATTTTAAAATTTTAAAATTTTTTATTTAATTAATTTTTCTATATTTTTCATAAATTTTTTGCTTAATAAAAAACATAAATCCTTTTTTTTTATGGATTGATTTTAAAATAAAAAATTATAATAATTTTAACTAAAATATTAACGATAAATTAAAAAACCGTTTAAAAAATATTTTCATAATATAGCATTTCAAAAAATAAATTTATAATTAATGGACTAACTTTTATAAAAAAAATTAAAAACAAAAATCCTAGTTAATGTTGATAAGAGGATTAACTTTTTAAATTATCCACAGAACATTATAGACAAATAAAAAAAATAATTTCAAAATTTTATAATTCTTTCATTAATTTTTTATTTAATTATTACTATTTTTTGTGTGTTTTTAATAAAATTTATGCTTAAAAACCACGATTTATTATTCTTTCTTTAGGAATTCTTAAATAAAAACCTATAATAATTTAAATTTGAAATATTAATTAAGAATTCAAATTAAAAATATTTTTTTATAAGAATGTATCTAAAAAATAAAGTTACAACTAATGTATAAATTTGCATAAAAATTAACTAATGAAAAAATAAAATTTTTTTCTTATTTAATGTTAGAAAGAAGATTATTTTTTTAAAAGTATATGCATTTGATCTTTATATGTTTATTTAAAATATAATAATCAATAAAATTAGCATAAGTATTTGAATAATTGGTTGGTTCCTTTAAAATTTTATTTTAATTATTTCATTTCAAATAAATTGGTTCTATACTCGTTAAAAAAAAAATTCATAGCAAATAATTTATATTATGTTGGAAGATGTATGGTTATTTTTTTAATAAAAACAATGATTCAATAGCTTTTTTATACGTCTTGATCATATCTAGAACTGAGATAAATTATTTGAAATACACTTTTAATCTCTTAAAATAATATACATATATCATTTAAAAAATATAAGAATTTATGATATATATATTATACCAATTTATTTTGAAAAAGAAAAAAATCATGTTTTAAAATTTTATTCTAAAATTCAAAGATAGAGAAAAATAAATTATATTTATAAGTAAATGATATTTTATATAAAAAATACTAATTAGATGAAAATTTTCATAAAAATGATACATTCAAAGAAAGAAATTTAAATAATAAGAGTAATATAAGTTAAAGTATATGTTAATTTTAATACATACATACACACACACATACCCGCATGCGAGCTGCTTGAAAATAAAATAAAAATAAAAATTGAGGATTAAAAAAATATTATAACACGAGGGGTGAAAATAGAGAAAAATGTTAAATTTTGCATATTAATGCCAAAAAAAAACCACATAAAAAATTACTTAAATTGCCATCAAGTAAATAGTAATTTTAAGCATATGAACAGTTTAGATTCTTGCGCTATGTTGCGGATCGAACTAAATATATTTATTTCAGTTTGATAAAATATAGTACTTTCTCAATTAATTAAAATATATTAAATTAAATATAAAAGATAAAATTTAATCTAATTTTATAATTTTTAATCAAAATTTTGTGTGTATGTGTGTGTTATGTTTTGAATAAATTTTGAAGTAAAAAAAATGATTTGTTCTTTTTTATGTATTTATTCTTAAATAAAAACCCAGAATAAAAAAAATTTAATATAAATTTTAAAAAAATATCTTAATATTTTTTTCATAACATTGAATCAAAGAAATAAAACAATAATTAATATAAAACTTATATGAAAATTAAAAAACGAAGCTTTTTATCGATAAGAATATTATTTTTTAAATACGTGCATTTCATTTATATATATTTATTTACAAAATAATGAATAATATTAGCATATAAAATTATATTTTAATTATCATGCAATTATTATAAAATATTATTTTAATTATTTTATTTTAAAAAATTAAAAAAATAATAACAAATAGTCGGCATGGTGTGTGTAGATACATAGTTAATTTTTAATAAAATTAATGACTCTAATATTATTATTTTTTTATGCATCATGATTGTACTCAATGAATGAGAATGTGTAGTATAAAGTGAAAAATATTTTTTAAAAAAATTAAATTATAGAATATATATTGAAGTTAGTAGAGTGCAATAAAAAATATAAAATTGATTTCAATAAAATTTGGTTATATAAAGAATAAGAAAAAAATAAATATTCTTTATTTTTAAAATTTGATTATATAAGAATTAAGCAAATAAAAACAGGTATAAAAAAAACTTATTCAAATCCATGTATAGAGAAAAAAATCATATTTATTAATAAATAGAATTATATAAAAACAAGAATAAAAACTAACTTGATGTGAATTTTTATAATAAATAAAAAAGATCAATTTTAAAAAATAAGAGTAGTATATATTTATTCTAAAATATAAAAACATATCGTATATATTATATAATCGTCGGTTTGTGTGAAAAAAAATAATGATTGATTTTTCAAAATTTTAACACCCAGTTAAATAAAAAAACATAAATTGATGAAAAAATCAAAGGAGAAAACAAAAAATAAATGAAGAAGCATGTGTAATGCATTAGCTAAGGGATTAAAATTTTTATTTTCAAATTTCGGGGATGAAAATGAAACGATTCAAAAATTACAAAAAGAAAAAGCCTAACCACGAGTGAGTGAATAGTAGTTTGTGAGAGGTGAATTGCAAAAATCACTGTTCAATATATTCCACCTTTTTTAGTTTCTTAGTAATGTGTGATAATGTTATCCTGTGATTCATTTTTCACTTTCTTTTTCAGTTAGAAGACCGATATCACAATTGAATACATTAATATACAAGTATAAAATTAGAAACGTATATGCATGTCAAATCCAAATTGATCATCAATAAAATTATTTTTGTTATGAATCTTTATAACAAAATATTATAGATATAATTCTTATAAATTATTCCAATTATTATTAAATTAAATTTAAGTACAAATAAATAACTGAAGCATGTTTTATCCCCCTTTCAAGCTTAAAGAACTTTTGAGTTAAAGGAATGTCTTTCAGTCTGTTTTGTAATCATTCTCTCTCTCTCTCTCTCTCTCTCTTAAAGTTTTTTTCATGTATTCTCATTTCATATTAAAAATAGAACTAATTATTTTCGGGATAAAAATAACAAGATTCAACACCTTCCAACAGGTACCACTTCAAAATTCAACCCATATAAATTGATAAGAAATTCATCTTAAAATATAATTATTTTTAGTCACCTTATAACAATTTATTTACTATTAAACTTACAATTTGTTTATAAAATATAATTATTTTTAGTCTCCTTATAACAATTTAAATTATTGGATTGAATGGCAGCAGTAATAAGTACTTTCAAACACCTTTTAAATTTGAGAATCTTTGTGAAAGTATAACATGATTAATTTATATGTAAATAACCTGGGATTACTTTTGTTTTTTAAAAAGTAACCTAAATTTGAGAGTCATTATGGTAGCGTGCCTGAATATCATTTCTCATGAAAACCAAACCCAATTTCAACTTCATATGTTCAACATTTCTAATAAAACCCTTCTATTATAACCTATGTTATTCTTATCTTCTACAATTTCTTTTTTTTGGGCTATAAACTATATTCTAAAATCTATAGACCTTGCAAAGTTCCACTTCAGTTCAAATGACCACTCATTCAAAAACTTAAGTTGTTAGATGATACTTAATATATGATTTATATAACTCTTCGATATATATTTTCAAATGAAAACTCTTTGAATTTGAAACTTACATATGTCCACACTATTTTATACTTTATTAATTAAAAAAATATGAGTGGTGAGACTTGAAATTAGGATTATTTGATCAACCAAGTTCGATAACATATCAAAAGACTAATTCACTCAAAAGTTTAAATTATCAAACGAGGTCTTATAATATGATTTATATAACTTTTTAACACTAAAAACTGAATCATTTCGATTTTTTTATTATTTTTATGGAACGCACATGTTTGAGGTTGTGGGGAGGAAAAAGTTCGAGAAATAAAAAATTAAAAGAAAACGTTTAAAAAAATGAACACTTCAACTGCTGTTATTATCAAGTGAAACGTGGAAACTACATATTGGAAAATTCAAAGTACGGGGATCAGAAAGTAATTAAAAGTAATATGTTGCTGAACCTTTTGAGGGCAAAATATAATTTGCCCATTGTTTCTGGTACAAAAGCATGTTATCACCAATTTAGGGTGATGATTTCAGCAATGAAAACCGAGTAGTTTTTGCAATTGATTTGATTATCAATCATCAAGTCATTAAGAAAGATTCTCTGCTCTGCTGTTTTCATCAAGGCGAAAAATCATTTAGGTCAATGATCTATATATTTGGCTACAAGTTTTTGTCGGGGCGACTACCTTTGGATAATGATGAGAATATTAAAGCAGAGCGGCTCTACCCACTCTCGCTGCTATTGCATCACGTTAGATAATAATATAAATAATATTTTAAAATTTCACCGTTTAAGATTTTGGATGAAATTATTTTTGAACAGTATAAACATTAGAAAAAAAGCTTGTCTGTGTAAGAAAGCAAAGGGCAAATATTTAGGTCTACAATGTTATGATTTTTGTATGTTAATTCAAATTATTTTTTAACTTTTGACTCGTCGAAAACCATAAATATATTTGATTAGAAATAATGTTTCACTCGAATCAAAATTTTGTAAAAATTCGATCTAGAATTTTTGTTAATTAAAAGTCAGCAACTCTAGTTTTGAGGAAATGAAAGGCTTTTTAATCTTTTTTACCAAACGTATTTCTAGTCTAACTCATTTTTGTCAGAAGTTATTTCTACCAGAATAATCGGAGCAAGAAATCGGAACTATATCATCTATGGTTTAATTCAACAAGAAATTTTATGTTAGATTGTATAGAATTAGATAGTTAAGATTGTATTTCATTTAAAAAGTTTAAACTTTATGATAGGTGGTCATTTTTCAACTTTATATATTATTTATTTTTTGTTTAATTATTAATGTGAGATATATCTTCTAACACTCCCCTCCCTTTAAGTCCTTTTTTTTTTAAATTTATCTAGGGATTTTGGGTTTTAGGATCTTTATTGGACCGTTAGATCTTTCCGAGATTCGATATCGTATAGAGTTATATGGTTGAAATTATATTACATTCGAAAAACTTAAATCTTATAATGGATTATCATTTTTCAACTTTATATATTATTCATTTTTTGTTTAATTATTCAATATGAGATATGTGTTTTGAGTTCTGATTTAATTTTCAAAAAATCAAATCCTATGATAGGTGGCTCATTTTATAATTTTTATATTATTTTATATTGTTGTATTTATTATATTGCTGTATTTATTATAAGTTTGCTAATACTCTCTCTCATTTGTAATTTTTATTTTTGGATTTGTCAAAAATTATATCAATGCAAAAGTTTATATAAGCAGAGTAAGATTTTCTAGCTTCGCTACTGATGTGATGTCTCATGCAACCTTTTCTGACATTTGTTAACACAGAAATCCTCCAGTTAGTAATTCAGTGTTCTTTTCAGCGTACTGCAAAATCCATGCTGTGTTTGTGTGTACATATTACATGTACTGTGAGCTAAAACAGCATCCCAAACTTTCCGAAATTACATTGTATGTGCTAAAACCACGCAATTGGCATATGTTCCATACCGAACTCAGATGTTTGGATAAAATATGGGAATATTAGAAAACTATGCTAAGAAAAGTGTAGAACTTCAACTGAACCACTGTCATGAGGAGCAGATATATCCTAGAAAGAAGCCAAAACGTAAGCCAATGCTCATTTCACAAATTAAAATTAGAAAAGTTTGGCAGAAAAAACTATTTAAATTGATGGAGAACATGAGGTAATTATCATTTATAAGGGAAAAAAAAATCCTGTTCGGAGGAATATTGAGAAGGATGCTGTTCTTGTACCAAAAAGAACAATATGACTGCATATTTATGAATTAACTAACTACAATTTTTCATGACAACATAACTATACTAGTCGAGAAAATATGAACAACAAAAGTCTGATAAAATCCACGTTAGATAAACACTAGACAGGCAAATATATAGATACTAGCTAGGTAAGCAAGAAATTAAAATGCACTACAGAATGGCTAGAGAACACTACTAGAAAACCGGAAAATAACAACAGAATTTTCCGTCGCTGTATCATCGATATCTGTCGCTATTTTCCGGTTCTCTTTTAGTGGAAAGCGAGTTAATTGAGTTGCATTGGAAGCCTTAAAACCACCATAGAAGGAATTCCAAATTGCAATACATATGAGCATACAAGAGGTTACTTCAAGAACATAATCTTCCCTTTGAATCATTTATATGTGGTCTTCGTTTCTGTATATACAAGAGGTTGATTCAAGTTTCTTGTCATATAAACACAAAAACGTACATTTCAAAATAGAGAAACAAAGAAAGAGTATGTGTAATCTACGTATGATATTTGCATGAATCTGTCTGGAAATGGAAGAAGCATAATGTAGGTTCAAGCAGATGCAAAGGAAGCTATAGAAAGATTTCTTAGGCTGATTCAAAGTAAGGCTTTTTTATAAATAGTATTCATAGCAAACTGTTAAAAAAAAAACATCGATAGAACTTATAATTGTAATTGGCAGACACAATCTGAGAAATGTATGCATGGCAAGAACAAAAAAAGAAACACTTTGATCAATGGTTTCTTGATTATTTACTATACATAGGGCAACTTTATCAAAGTAAAGATCTTATATCAGGGCTAATCACATAATAAACCCAAATGATTAGTGGCCGGAATAGATCCTCTAATACAACAAAGTGGAGTTTTGTACCCCACCAGAATCGCTAAAAGTGAAAAGAAGTTTCACTAGCATATATCTTTCCTAGATAAAATATCATTAGTTTTTTATTACCACTATTATTAATATTTTCTGATTATATAAGCATAGAGCAATCATGCAAATTCTTGCTTTTATCCAAATTATTATCTATTAAGATGACCCAACATCAGCCTATTAGTAAAGTGTTGTCGGCCAGACTTACTAGCAAAAACTCCTCGAATCTCCATGCATGGTTTCTAAGCTTTATTTTGTATTTAGTCGTCTATTAGCACACTAGGATAGTGATCTAGCATCAATAATGGCAAAATTTTGGATGTAGACCTTTTGTCTTGTCTTCTAATTTTATACTACTTTTTCGACTTGACTAGAAACCTAACTAGATTCCACTGTTTCTTGCTAGGTTCATGTGACTGTTTAGGTAATTTGACTTGACGACTGATGATCCTCTCTCCTCTCTCTTTCCAAAAAATAAAAGAAAAGGAAGATGGGGAAGAAAAACCTGATAGGATATGACTAATACGGGAGATGACAGGAGGAATTTACAGGAAAAAGGGTCAAATTATAGTACACAGAAATATAAATTACAATACCAAACTCGTAATCAACAAAATATCAGAAGCCAGAAGTACTTTGCACTGTCTCCCACATTTTTCATTGTCTTTGCCCTTCAACTGAAATGACAACACTAAATGAAACAGCACTACTTTCTGAATATCATATCAATTCATTGGTACTCAAGGAGTACATCAACGATATAAGAGTACAACAAGATAAGTCTCCTAAGAGGCTACAAATATGGCTATGGCTAGACCCAAATTAAATTTATGCATTTGTCAATATTTCAGGGTCACTTATTAAAAAACTAATCTTTATGTTAATTTATTATGGTTTTTCTAGACTACAAGGCAGTAAAAGTAGCAAGACAATAGGGAGAAGGGTAAGTCAGAGACTCATAAATAAAGACTTGGCAGAAATGAAAATCTGACCAAACATCTGAAACCCAACTATTATAAAACACTAGTGGTAGTGCTAGACATCTGACATATGATTCTTTTGTAAATGTCTTTCAAGCTTTAACCACTGTGTGACTGAATTTCCAGACCCTTAAAGAATTTGATAAGAAGCGCTAATGTCCAAAGACGGTGAAAGAGTGATGAAGACACACACATGATCTGCAAATCTATGGCTTGGCATACATGAATATTACATAAATGTATGAGCAATTAGATGCTCTCGGTTCCAACATAGACCATAACTGCAAGTACAATCACTAATACCACCACTTTTTCTATTGCATCTACTGCTACTCCCACTACTGGTAATATTACTACAACTGTTTGCATCAAAAGCAGATTCACGGTATCCGCAGATCTAGCTACCCATTGTTTCCGTGTATCCAAGCAAACAGAGAAATACCCCAAAAGGAGGAGAAAAAGGCTAACCCTAAATACTAAAATGCCATATAACTCGTACATATTAGTAAAACAAAATAACCAAAGATACGGATAGAGAAATAATTAAGAACTATCAAGAGCAGTAGTATTGTAAACTGCCTGATAAAGGGTACTTTTTTTTTAAGTAGCGCCTGGTGGTGGTGGTAGTGGCAGGGCTTGGATTTGTTGCTGTGGTAGACGCTTACGCTTCTTTTTCTCATAGCTAATCCCTCTTGCTTTAGACTGTAAATCACGAACCTCGCGAAGATAAAGCCTAACAGCACGAGCTCCAAAAGGGTTTGCTTCAGGTTTCCCTCCATTTTCCTCAAAGGCTGCCCGGAGGCGTCCAATAAGCGCATCAAGGCTGCCCCAGGCTTGGCGGAGAGGGCAGGGGCAGGGGGCTGGTGGGTTTGGGTGGCCATAAAAAGGGCAGATTGGTGTGTGCACTTTGGTCTTGCCAAATTGGTCAAGGTAGCGAAGGAATTCAAGGACATGAGCACCACTACACCTGGAGAGAGAAAGAGGGGGCCTGTGGTTCTTGAGGTATTGACCAAAGGTGTTCCAGTCTCGGCGCTTTTGATTCTCATACCGACTTGGAGTGGTGGAGGATGGCGATGATGAGTTTGAGACTGACATAGTTGTGTTGGTTGTGCTGGTGTTGCCTATGTTGTTGAAACTTGCGTATTCAGAGTTCGAGCTCTCCATTTCTGGGATCGAATTCATAGAGATTGTTGTTTTAGTTATTGCGATCTTTCAGATGGTAAGGCTATGTTGTTGCTGCTGGAAGTGGCCGTAGGGGTGGCGATGCCTTTCCTCTTCTTATTTTTCTGTCTTTATAATCACTTTACTCACTTCTTCTTCTTCTCTCTAGGGTTTGCTTCTCTCCTGAAAACAAAAACCTTAATTAAAGAGGGGACGGAGATAAAGAAATTAAAAGGGCAGTTCTGAATCCCTTGGTTTCTTATCGTCCAACCAAAGAGTGGATAATTCTATGTTTTTTCTGTTGATGGGAAAAAAACTAGAGCCAAGAAGGAAAGAAGCAAGTGAAACAAAAGAAGTTGTGATCATTATTGGTTGATATTACATGATTTCCATTTTTGATGGGACAGAAAAAGAATGGTGGAGCTGGAAATAGTTTAACAAAGGAAGAATTTGATGTTGAAAAATTAAGGGGATGATGAGACAGATGATGGGAGAGAGAGGATGAGTGGACTCTTCCTCTTTGCTAATGTTGGAGTTTGTTTCGTTTGAGCAAAATACTAGAAAATCTTAAGGTTTTTTTTTTTGTTTTGGGTCTGAAAATGCTTGGTGATTGGGGTTTTTTTTACCTTAAAAAGGTGGAGCAATTCAGCTCTTATTGGTTAATGACGATATATAGAGTAAGGGAACTGTGTTATGGCTTGTGGGAAATGGCAAACGGTTTGGGCAAAGTAGGTTGAGACGGAGACAGGAAAAAGTTTGGAGGGGAGAGGTAAAAACTGAAGGGAATAACATGATTTTGTTTCTTGAACCTGTAGCCTTGAATGACAGTTCCTTTCTAGTAAGTGACCAGAATACCCTCTGAAAAGTTTCAAGGAAAATGGTGAAGTAGGTTTCTGTTCCTTGCCTGGTCAGCAACAAGCAGCTCTCTAACTTAACTATTCCTCCTTTTAGCAATTTTCGTGTGCAGATTCAGCAAATATTTTGAGCTTCCAAATCAAGTGTTTTTAAAAGTCTGTCCTCAATCCTGATATGTTCAGCAATACTGTACTGTACTGTTCTTTCTTCTTCTTCTTCTTTTTTTTTTTTCTTTCCAATCTCACAGCAATTCTTGTCTTCATTAGAATCTCCAAAGGAAAAATCTTAAATTTCCACAAGTGTTGCATCGATTTACACATTTAACCTACGAGAAGAAAAAATCGTAGTGGGCAAAGAACCTAATACATAAATTATTACGCCATACATTCAGCATATTAATATATATATATATATATATATATATATATATTTTAAATATATATATATTTTAAATATATATATATTAAGAACTGAAACATTCTTAACATATCACATTAGGTCAATTTATCATAATTAATTTCCTTGCAGCCTATCCTGATTATTATGATGATTTCGAGCAATAATTAGGGTTCCTAGCCAATCAGAAAAACCAATTTTCTAAACAAATTGATGACACTGATAGCTTTCGCCAATTTTTTCACCTCAAATTTTGAACTTTGATTACTGTTAAAAAAGAAATGCACTTTAACAATAGTTTTGGTCTACGCTGGAATTACTTGTAAACAAAAATTATTCCTTCGTAAGTTGGGTTTCAAATATGATTTCAGCTGTAACTATTTGCTATATAACTATGGTTGTAAAAGTAATTGGAAATACTATTAAATACTTATAGAATATAAGTCCTTTCAATTTTATTTTATTTTTGTTAATTTATTGTGAAATATTATTCAAATTTTTTTCCAAAATTGTATATTTTATTTTGGATGTAGCTTTGAATTTCACTATTGCGAATCTATTTGTTTATTTCTAAAAAAAAAATCTCAAGTCTCCATCTCATATGCATGTGTTTGGGGCTATTTTTACTCCAAATTGCAAAACTAAAAGCATCTGTTGAGGAACAAAAAAATCTATTAATTAATTTATAAGAATCATTATACACTTTTTATGATTTCAACATTAAAATACTTTTAGACGTACATATTTCCAAACATATTCTATAATGAAACCAAAACCAACAACCTTTCCCAACCCGAAGCTTAACGAGTATAAATTTGGCAATGAGGAATAGATATCAACTAGTTTTTTTTTAACACTGCTATATTGTGAGTGGAACAGAACACATAATTTGTTTTTTAAAAAAATATTTTAATTTGATGTCTCATATTAGTTGATCCGTTTATTAAAATAGATCAAATCAAAACTGAAAAAAAAATTATTTATTTTTATATTTTTTTAATCAAATTTTTGTATTTAACTAATTATTCTTTATATTATTATAATTTTTTATTAAAAAATTATTTATTTATCTCTATCCATTTTCTAAGAAAAAAATTATAGCAATATAATAAAAATGTCAAAACCAATGGATTTGTAGCTAAAAACTTATTCTGTAAATTATTTTTTTCTAAATATCTTTTTGCCATGATCAAAATAAAATAAAAAGGAGACCAAATAAAATAAAAAAATTTATAGACCAAAAAACAATATTTAAAAAAAAAATCAAAGTGTAATATTATGAAAAAAATTCATAATAAATGATTTTAAAAAGTTTACAAATTACAAAAAAATACTATATAACAAAAAAAACTAATACATAATAGTATATATGAGTCTGAATAAATAATAATTAGAACAATGCTAATGAATAATAAACTGACATTTTGGTTTATTATTATTATTTTTTAATATTCAAAGCCTGTTATTGCAGTGTAAAGTCACATTTACAAGTACATAGAAAGTGAGAGTTGGGTGGTACAAATACTTTTCTATACACAACAAACAAAAGATTCCCAAGGAAAAGGACTGTTTTATAATTTATTTTTTAAATGTTGGTGAGCTCCATCCCATCCGAAAAATATGCCCAAATTGAAAATTAGTAATTAATTAGCATGTATTCGTTCAAGTTCCTGTCTGTACTTTAGGCTCATAAACCCGATGCCCTGATCCAAAGCACACCGTTTTAATGCCCAAAAATAAGTCACCGCCCCTTGTCCCTTGATCAGCTCTTTGATCAATGATCCCCACCGCCCAATATATATATATATTAGGGATAATCTGGGAAAAGTACTTCTCGTGTAAGACAATTCTCAAGTGGGTCCTAAAAAGATACATTTTTTCAGTTGAGTCATTTCCGATTAATCAAACATTCTCAATTAAGTCTTTCGTCCAAATATGTAAATGTTTTCCATCTACGTTTCCTATTTAATCCAATAATGTTTTTTAAAAAAAGGATAAATTGATGTTTTATGTCAAAAATTACAACAGTTTTCGATAAAATAGAAATCCAACTTTTTTGAGAACCTAATTAAGAATTAGTTTGTGGGCTGGGGACTTACATGAGGTTATACCAACTACTATGTAATGCACGTGTGTTCGTTTCTCTTTTATTTTTTTAGGGAAAAATAAAAAAGAAAAAACGGAATGTACTTAGCAAGTCAGCATCAGCTCTTGGTTCAAGAGCTTGTTCGCCTTTGTTGTATCTCAAGGCTGTTTTTTATCTCACAACAAATTCCCTTAATGTATATTTTACTTTTAAATCAAAGTGCATCATCCATCGCCCAAAAAAAAAAAAAAAAAAACTGTTTTACCTTTTTCAAAAAATGAAAAAACAGATTTTTTTTTCTTTTTTACAAGCAGGAGCTTATGATAAGATTCATTTCTTACCTTAAAATATAATTTTTCTAAAACACGTTTATAAATGTTGTTTACCATATAAGCATTGATTTTACTAATATTATTGTTAATTTTAACGTACAACACCATGATATATGTGTATATTTTTACAGAAAAAAAAAAGAATGGATACAAATCCCAAATTATCGTCCTCTTATTTATAAATAAAGAGTTTCATCACCCTATTTTTACCCCTCATAAAAAATAAAAAAATAAAAAATAAAAAAAAGAGAAAAATAGAAAAACAAAAAAAAACAAAGAGAGAACTAAGCCTAGATCATTATTGAACTACGTATTAGGCATTGGGTTGAGCTTGATTAACAATAATAAAAAATCAGAATAAAAAAATCATAAGTTAATTTTAGAAGCATCCCTATAAATGCATACACATATACAAAAAAGGGAGGAGAGAGCCACTTGGGAGAAAAAATAAAAAAACCTAGCGGTCCAAAAAACAAAACCCAAAAAAGCTATCATACACCCAAAAAGCCAAAGACACCATTCGACATGGAGTCGCCACTCCTCCTCCAGTCGATGAAGTCAGGCATGCATCATACCACCGTGATCAGAAAGAAGAGACGAAGCTAGCACCACTGGTCCGCCACCCATCCGATGTCTAACGTTACCTCACGTGCACGAGTGGCTCGGACGATGCTTGGAACACGTACCACATGCACTAGATCTATCTCTCTTCTCTTTGTTTTGCTTGTGTTCAATTCAGTATTTGAATTTTTGATTTGGTAATTATATACCTGCTCTTCAGCATTTTTTTCTTTAAATTTCATCCGAATTTTTGTGAATTGCATGATTATATTATTGATTTATATTCTATAATATGAATTATGCAATTAACATAGGATTGGTATGATAAATTAAATTAAAATTGTTTAGTTTGGGTTTAATTGAAAAGATTTGAATTCAGAGTTATTAATGTTATTTGATAGACTTAAAATGATTTCAATTCAAAAAGTTTTGATGTATATATGTGATTTTATTGGAGTAGGAAGTGCTTAGTATTTTTTTTAAGGTTTGTCTTATTTTTATCTTTTTGTGTATACTTATCGTTATTATTTCAAACAATAAGGAGTTTAATGGTGATATATTGCATATTATTTTTCATATAAAAAGTTCATAAGGAGCTGTAGGTTAACGATGAAACTCGCAATAGATTAGCAATTTCTTTTGAAGAAGTAAAATAAGTCAAATCTGAATTTATAGGCCAAGGACATTATAAAGGTCTATTGGCTATTTTATTTTTCTTGAAGTCGTTTTTATATGATTTGTGATTTTTTTACATGTTTTTATAACTTGCACTTTCTATATTTATTTCATGT